AAACCTCGTCCCTGGCCAAAAATCGTTGAATCAGTCAACGACCTATTGACCCAGGTAGTTTAACCGGCGACCCATCGATCCACTCAAWGATTTTTGGCCATTTTTATTTTTAATTAATTTTTTTTATTTTTGTTGTCAGAACAGGCCATCTGTTCGAACTGGACGGTTGAACCGTCAACATGGAAACCAGTGGCTATAATGGTTCCATTTTTGGGTCGTTTTTCCTAGGTGTCAATAATTAAACGAAATAACTTTGTAGTCGTAGTCATGGGAATGATGGACATTGCAAGGGATTCCAAAACCTTGAAAGATAAATCCAAAGTGACCTTAGACACATAAAAAATTGGCGGTAAAACCACCAAACTGGAATGGAAAAACCAAAAAATCGAGTCCAAATTTCCGCTTTGAGATGGAGCTAAACATACACGCAATCAAAGAAAGAGACAAAGCAGATTGTCTTGTAAGAAAAAAAAAATTGCACAAGAGAACCCAAAGAAAAAAAAACAAAAGAGGAGAAATAAAATGTTGGTAAACCCTAGACCATTTTGGAGGATCTTGAAGAAGAAGACCAAGCACAAAAAAAAGCAAAAAATGAAAAAAAAAGGAATATAGTACACACGTTCGAATAAAGCCCATAGTAGAAAAAAAAACTTTGAATAGTAAAAATCCAAAAGCACAAAAGACCATAGTTTTTGAACCACCGTTGACCCGTACGGATGGACATTTTGGCCCGGGAGCCGTCAAGGAAACCGGTTCCGTTTTACCCCAATCCCGGTCTCTGGCAAAAAATTGTTGAATCAATCAACAACCCATTGAACCGAGCGGTCGAACTGTCGATTAGTTGACCTGTCCAATGGTTTTTGGCTATTTTTTATTTATTTTTAATTGGGAATCATCTAGGCAACTGGTTCCATTTTATTATAATCTCGGTTCGTGTTGAAAATTTGTTGAATCGACCAACGACCCCTTGACCCGAGTGGTCAAACCGTCGACCTGTTCTATGGTTTTTAGTCATTTTATCATTCTTTTTTTTAATTTTTGTTGTCAGAATGGGCCATCCATTCAAACCGAACAGTCGAACCGTCGACCCAAAAACTAGTGGCCATAATGGTTTTGTTTTCAGGTTGTATGAGTCACATGCTYGAATGACATAGCACGTATGGTACTACTTAATGGACCTCAAACACTCAATGTTTTGCTTGTAAATTTTGTTGTCAGAACGGCTCGTCCATTTTTTTTATTCTTTTAATTGGGAACCATCCAAGAAACTGGTTCCGTTTTACCCCAATCCTGGTCCTTAGCCAAAAACCGTTGAATCGGTCAACAACTCATTGACCCAAGTGGTCTAACCGTCAACCTGTTGACCCATTCAATGGTTTTTGGCCATTTTTTTTTAATTTTTGTTGTCAGAACGGGCCGTCCGTTCGAATCGGAAGATTGAACCGTCGACCCGAAAAACAATGGCCAAAACAGTTCCATTTTTAGGTTGTATGAGTCACACACTTGAATGACATAACACGTATGATTAATGGACCTCAMACACTCAATTTTTTGCCTGTAATTTTTGTTGTCAGAATGGGTCATCCGTTCGAACCAGATAGTCGAACCATCGATCTGGAAACCGATGGCCAGAATGGTTCCGTAATTTTTTGCTTGTAATTTTTTGTTGTCTGAATTGGCCATCTGTTCGAACCGAATGGTTGAATTGTCGACCCAAAAACCGGTGGCCAAAACGGTTCCGTTTTCGGGTCATATGGGTCACACGCTCGAATAACATAACACGTATGATACTACTTAATGGACCTCACRCACTCAATTTTTTGCCTATAATTTTTTTTGTCAAAACAGACCCTCTGTTCAAACCGTCGACTCGAAAACCGGAGGCCGGAACAATTTTGTAATTTTTTGCTTATAATTTTTGTTGTCAGAATGGTCCATCCGTTCGAACTAGACGGTCGAATCGTCGGTTGTCAGAGTGTTATTAACAACATTTATCAATAATAGTAAGTAATTATAATATTTTATTAAATAATCATTAATGATAGTTTTATTAATATTGTTTAGTTATTTTTAATATAACAATAATTATTAAATTTCTGAATAGGATTTATTAACAATATTCATTAAATTAATAATTACCAAAATTGAATTAAATTAACAATATTTATTAGTAATAGTCAATAATTATAATATTTTATTAAATAATCAATAACAACACTTTTGATAACATTTTTAATTATTTTTAATATAACAATAATTAATAAATTTATTAACAATATTTAATAATAATAATATTTATAATTTTTATTTAGAGTAAATATATATTTATTAATGATATTTATAATAACAATAGTTATTTATTATAATCACTAATTATATATTTATTAAATTACTATAATAAGCAGTAGTTATTAAAATCGTGTTTCTAAATTTATTAATAGTATTTATAATTTTAATTTAAAGTAAAATTAAAGTAAATATCTAGTTATTAACAATATTCATAATAACAGTAATTATTAATTATAATCACTAATTATATATTTATTAAATTGCTGTAATAATCGGTAATTATTAAATTAACATAATTAATTATTTTAATAATCAGTAATTACTGTTATTTATAATCACAATAATTATTTATAATCGGTAATGACAGTAATTAAAGGGAAATACTGCCCTTACTACAGATCTAGGTTGCTCTCACGTGGGATCTACTCGCACGAGTAGATTCCATTTCCTGCACGGAGAGAGCACCCATTTCCTATTAATAGATATATATAAGATGACTCAGTGTAGGAACAAACTACATGCTATATTTGCTTCATGAAAAAAAAAATGCAAGGTATATAATATCCTTATGTAGAAATCTACAAGAAAGGCCCTTAGTCTTAAACAAAGTTTAACTCTCAACTCTTAGGAGCCTATCATTTCCACTATCTCTGGGCCATCTTATGATAAACATACAACAACAAACCATCAACATTTGCTTTGTTAATAGACTTTGTTACTCTCCTTTGATCCACTTATAATCTATTCTCAGCTTGCAATGGTAAACTCTCTTGTGTTGCATATGTAATAATCACATTCTCATGACATAAACTTAATTGATATAGGTTCTATGTCTATTCATTTAATATCTATGATTTCATTTATGTAGAATCTTATTTATGGCATTTCTACCCTATCTTTCCTATTGACCTTTACTAGTACAAAGCTCAATAGTCATTGTTTTTAGTCTATAGTATTTTCAATAATGCAAGAAACCATATTCACAATCTACTAAAAAAAAGATAGGTATTGCAGAAGGATGTAACAAGATGAAGCTTCACTTGTACAAATAATACAATGTTAAAAGCCTGAAACAAAAGTAAACCTGATTTAGATTGGATTGGTTCAATTCAATGGGATGAATATTGGTTTAACCCGAACTAGATTGGATGGCAAACCTGATTTATTTGCTAGTTAATACTTGTGGTTGAAGCCTATGTTAAGTGTTGGGAATTCTTTGCTTCAAGCAGTCGATCATTTTTTGGGTCGTGTGCTTCAGCTTCTTTATATAGTTTATTTGGAGTGCCCTAAAGCAGCACGACAAGCTTAATTGAATGTTAAGGTCAGCCCTAAAACCCTATTTGGAGGGGCTGAAGTGCAACAATTTATAGCTTTTTGACATGGACAACCTTTATGATTAGACCTGTTCATGGGCCAGTTCGGCCCCCGAACGGGTTTGAACATTATAGGCCTGTAGGCTTAAACTCGGGCCAAAAAGCCCGGCTTGTAATAAATTCGAGCCGGGCTCGGGTTTTGTCAAAATAGCTCGGTCCGACCTAAAATTAGACTTAAAATGGGTTATGTGATCATGTCCATTTGAATAAAATTTTTGATTTAAGAACGTAAAACTGTGTTTTAAAACGTAAAAGAAAGGGAAAAAAACCATCTTATAGGCCCATTGTTCATTTAAATAGGAAAAAAAAACCATCTGAATTTTTAATTTTAATTTGAATAGGGAAAATTGTAATTTTTTTTATTAGATCAGGTTTCGAGCTTTTTATCAGGGCCGGGCTCGGGCTCGGGCCTAGCGTATTTCCATTAATGATGAGGAAAAGCCTGGCCCGGCCCGGCCCATGAACATGTCTAGTTATGATCAATGACAAAATCGGAGAGTCCAAATCAGTTGTCAAATCGATCATTTTTTTGGGCCGTTCACTCCTCTACGGGTGTTTATGGTCCAGTTTAGTGCGATTTAGAGAAGACCTCAAACCAAATCAATAAATTACATATTTATAATTTTATACATTTGGTTTATATATATTTTATATAATATTATATGCTTATACATTATACTTACGTAATTATGTATTGATATTGTATATTTTTATCAACCTTTGGTTTGATTTATAAAATCCAATAAACCAAACTGAAATTGTAAACCGTAATTTAATAAAATAGCAAATCAAACCAAACTGTTTTTCAATGCAGATCAAATCAAACCGCAAATTTAATTTGATTTGGTTCGGTTTTGCCGTTTGAACCGGATAATAAACACCCGTACCAGCCTTTCTAGTCAGTTTATGAAGAGCGGTCAAAGCTGTTGAACCAGATTGGCAGAATGTTCAGCTCAGCTCTCCTAAACGGCAGCGGGCACCGTTAGAAGAGACGGGATCTGCTCTTCGCGAATGGGCGTCTCACGTGCACATCCACCGTGCATTAAGAACATCTCCCGTCAATAATAATTAATAAATGCGGGAGATGTTATCAATGCATGGTGATGTGCGTGTAAGTGTGTGAGGAGAAAATCCGGTCTCCCGTTAGAAAACGGTCCTCTCCCGAGTCCCGAACCTCTAAACGATTGATCGGCACGGTAGATGGGTTTATGGGCCGGCTTGGCAATCTTGGACCGTTATGGCCCATCTAATACAGACCTTGAACTCAACCGTGGTCCGTGGACAGTGGACTTGACTGGCTCGATTTTGGGCCGAGTTTTGGTGGTTGACTGGTGGGGAATTCGTACAATCGAAAAGCCGTCGTGACACTGGCGAGCTAACCCCCCTTTCGGCTTCCGCTTCTGTCGTTCAAAGGAATCAATGCGCGAGTAAGGGGGGAAAAACTCATTCTGGCTCTGGTCAACAAAATTGAAGACAATTTTTGGAAAATTTCTTGAAAGAGGTCCAAATTATTTTCCAATCTGAGAAGATGAAGATCACTGTAATGACCGCCGACGAACAGTTCATCACATTAGACGTTGATCCAGATGAATCTGTAACACCCATTTCTTATCCCAAACCTTACTGTTTCTTACATTCTACTGTATTTCATACATTTAATTATTTTGCAATCGAGCTAGGTTGTTCCATCTCGAAGTATGAAGTATGTTTTTCTTATATTCTTCTATTATTTGCTTTGGGCTGTGCATTAACAGGTTGAAAACGTGAAAGCACTGCTTGAAGTGGAGGTGAGAAGACATAAATAGTCGATAGCCCCTTTTCTTTTTAACTGTTTTCTATTTTTTTATTTCTTTTAATTTCCTTTTTTCCCGATTCTTGCTTTTTATCTCTACAGACCCGTGTGTCACTTCAACAGCAGCAATTGCTCTTCAATGGAAGTGAGATCAGGAATTCTGATCGGTTAAGTTCCCTTGGTGTTAGAGATGGGGATTTAGTGATGATGATATCTCGTGCCTCCTCTAGGTATCTCTTAGCACGATTTACTTTCCCACTGACAAACATCTGCAAATTACATTGGCAATTGGCATTACCCTATAAGTTATAACGTCACTTAGATTGATGGATGCTTGAGGTCAAATCCGTAATCTCCGATAGAAGTCTTCGTTTGGATTACACTTTCATTTTTTTTGTGTGTGGGTTGCATTGGGCTCAGGTATATAACTTGGTTTATGTACTCATTTTTTTTGATCATCATTGGTTTAAGTACTCATGGTTGATCTTACCTGCCAAAGGCTTATATAGTCTGACTAGATTATACCTACGACTTCAATATAACCACCGTTTTACATGGCTTGGTTCCATTTCTTTTTATCAAACAGTTCTTAGTCTTGATTAATGACCTCAACTCTCTTGTTTTAGTTTTTTCTTCTCCTTTTTTTTTTTCCAATTATCATTAGATCACTGGCAGTCCAGTACAAATACAAAAACCACAAATCCATCTACTCAACTCAATCAAAAAAGTCCTATCCCAAGTCCCAACTATATGAGGTTGATTCTTATTTTTCAACTCGACTATATAGGGTTTTATCCATGTTAAATTGTAATTCCTCATATTCTTCCACTCTATCATGTATTAAGCTCATCCAAAGCACTATAGATTACTGTGATTGCATTACTCAAACACACTTGTCATTCTTGTGAGCCCAAGTTTTACCATAACGGTCTTTAAGGCTCAGTTTGGAAGGAGTACAAATACAAATATGTAGAGCACAAAGCCTTGTATTTTGTATGTATTTGCACTGTACATATTTGTATTTGTATTCTTTCCAAACTGAGCCTAAATCATTTATCTTCTATATCAAATAAATAGATGGAGAGAAAAAGTACTGGTTTTACCTTTTGTGTTACAGACCCATGGCACTGTGGTTAAGGCAAGTGGGTCTTTTTAACTGGCGAAGTGAGTTGGTGTGTAGGTGACAACTAGGTTGCCAAGGTGTCATTAAATAAAGAGATATATCCTGTAATGTATATATAATAATACATAAAGTATTATGTAACTACATGTTAATTCAAAACTATGAAGTAAACCACTAAACAATCTAATGACAACTATAGAGCACCTTATTTTCAGAAAAGAATAAGAAGATTTTTGAATAACCAACCTGTCTCAAAGTAAAATGCCCACAGTGCACAAAGGGATTAATAGTGCTAAGTTTAGGTCTAAAACACTCATATTGATTCAACATACATTACATTCACTAAATGTCAATATATAAAAGGTGGGAATAATTACTTTTTTTGCCCAATAGAATTTTATCTATAGTATACAACATGCCTAATTGACACTTTAACTACATTGTACAAGGGAAAGAAAATTAGTTCAGTATTAACATTGAAATAAAAAAAAAAACTTATACAATATTAGAATGCAATGAACAGATTAGAGCTCTGTGCACAATTTTTTCTTGCCTCCTTTCTGATGATGCTTCTGTCTATGCCAAACTTAAATGATCATAGATCCTGATTTGTCTTTTCATGCTCAAAAAAGAACAGAATGGCAAAACAGGATTCATGATGCCAGGTCCATATAGTTGGGATAAGGCTTGGAGTTGATGAACTAGACTTTATGTGTAGCATTATTAGCAGTCCTTTTTCTAGTTGCGACCTGATGGGATTAGCCTTTTGCCTTTTAAGTTTCTTACGAAAAGTGCTCTTTTCCTTGGATTAGCAACTTTTACAATTTTTCCTCATTGTTTTGCTTTTAAGAAACTCAATCTTCAACACTTATTAAAGAACTTCTCTGCTGCGGCTTCTAGTTATACAATATGCCTAACTTTCCACTACATCAACTATTGTTGCCTCTGAGGAACTGGTGCTGAATCTGAGAGCTATTTTAGCAAATTCCGAGACGCTTACAGGTCTGAAAGTTAACCTAGGTAAGAGTATGATAATTGGGATAGGGGAGGGGAGGTAAGGAAGGAGGAGCTGGACCATCTTGCTGCGGTTTTTGAATGCCAAACAGGTGATCTACCTTTCCTATATTTAGGACTTCCGGTAGGATCCAGAACTAATGAAGCAGGGATTTGGAGGCCAGTGATTGAACGAGTAGAGAAAAGGCTAGAGAGATGAAAAGCCAAATACCTATCTCTGCTGGGAAGACTGGAAGAATTACACTGGTGAGAAGTGTTCTCTCAAGTCTGTGGACTTATTATCTATCTCTTCTGAAGGTTCCAGCAAAGGTGGCAGAAAAAATTGAAAAGATTCGGAGGGACTTTATCTGGGAAGGAGTTGGTGGTGCAAGGAAGTTTCATTTGGTGAAATGGGATATAGTGTGTAGGCCAAAAAAACATGGTGGCTTGGGTATTAGATGAGTTAAAACTTTCAATAAGGCCTTGCTGGGAAAGTGGCTGTGGAGGTTTGGGTTGGAAAAGGAAAGGGAGTCCCTTTGGAGAAGGGTTGTAGCAGGAAAATATGGGTTGGTGAGGTTTGGGTGGGAGTCAAGGGAGGTCTCCAACTCTTACAGAGTGAGTGTTTGGAAGGGGATCATGTTGTTCAATCAAGAGTTTAAAGATGTAGTCAGATTTAAGGTGGGAGATGGGGCAAGAATTTGATTCTGGGAAGATGAGTGGTGTGAAGTAGGGAAGCTTTGCGAAGTGTGCCTGAAACATTATAGGCTGTCTGAACACCAGATAAGAATTGATCAATGCTTTGAAGTGTGCAGAGAAAAGGTTGTATGGTGTCYCAAATTCAGAAGACCCTAGCTAGACCAGGATATAGAAGAATGTGTTCAGTTGTTGAACTTGCTTCAGAAAGTGGAGGTACCCACTTCCTCAAGGGATGGTTTGTGGTGGAAAGAGTGCAAGAATGGGGTTTTCTCAGTGAAATCTTTCTATCTAGCTATGTTAAAGGACCAGCAGGGATCAGATTATAAGGGTGGAATCTGGGGGAACCCCATTCCACCTAGAGTGGAAGCTTTTGCTTGGCTGGTTGCCATGGACAGCATCTTAACATCTGATCATCTGAAGAGCAGAGGGTTTTCATATGGCAAACTTTTGTGTCATGTGTAGTGCAGATGAAGAATCTGTTCTGCACTTATTTTCTACCTGCAAGACTGCAAGAATAATTTGGAGTTGTTACACTTTTTTATTTGGGAAAAGTACGATTCAGCCAAGATCTGCAGCAGAAATTTTCTCCACCTGGCCAAGAATTGGGGGAGGTAGGAAAGCAGGGGTAGTTTGGAGCTGCATTCCCATTTGCTGTGTGCTGGACACTATGGAACGAAAGGAACAGAAGGATTTTTGAAGACAAACTCAAGAACACAGAAGTTCTGGTGGCTCTGGTTGGGAAGCTAATTGCAGATTGGGTTTGGGTGTTACCAGATTTCGATCAAGTAAACAGATCATATTTGGGGGAAAATTTCTGGTGTTTGCTTGAGATTCAATGATGTATCTGTACCGGTCTTAGTGTTGGACTGTACCTAGTTCAGTTTTGCTCTGTTTTGTTAGTTAGGTGCCATCTTGTCACCCTACTACATGTAATCGATCTTTTTCTTTTAATAAAATTTCTAGTTTACTCTTCAAACAAAAAACTATGGTTATGATTGTTAATGCATGTACCATCACTCAAGGTTTATGATGACACTTGATTGTGTTTGCCACATAGGAACCTCAACCTTAAATCCTGTTTTGAAGTTTCATGTTTGTATAATTGCATTATACCTTGGTATATTAAATAATTTACCAATCAACTTGTTCTCTAAGTTTTGTTTTAATAATAAAATAAAAGGAGAACTTATTGGAAGGAAAAAAGTTATGATCGGAACAATGAAAGTTTACAGGTAACACTCTCAAGATCAACCATTTATCAAAAAAAAAAAAATCTCAACATCAACCATAATATCAAAGCAAGCCAAAAAAAAATAAAAGAAAAGAGAGACCCATTTGTCATCAGCTAGAACCCTCATCCAAATGGTTTGGTACCCCTCAACCTCTCTACCAAGTCAAGCTTTTTTTTTTTTTTTTTTTGAGCAAAGGTAAAGTATAATTATATTAATCAACAGGTCCTTTGTACAATGAGAAGCTGTACAAAAACAAACCTTAAGGACCTCAAAAAAAGGCCATCCTCAAAATAGTCAAGCTAAATTTTGACAGCTTTAGTGTAGGTAACCCAGGGAACTCTAGTGTTGGAGGTGTATTTAGGAGGAGTGCTGGAACCATATTATCCATATTTAGGTCCTATTGAAGTAGGATACTCAACAAGAGCTAGATTGTTAGCAGCACTATAGGGGTTAAAAGGTTGGGTAACCTCTCAATCTTAGGAACTTGGTGGTGGAGGGGGATTCCAAGGTAGTAGCAGTATGGCTAAGAACTGACTACCAAGGTTCATGACATATAATGAGGGAAATTAAGCATTAATCAAGGAGAGCTGGAACCTACTTTCTCATGGGTCCAAAGGTTAGCTACTCATGTGGCTGATAATATGGTCTATAGCTAAGCAAGGGGTAAACAGGGGACAACTATTCTAGGAGTGGGGGTTAGTCTGTAATGGTGTAAGCAAAAGGATAAATTTGTGGTTGGTAGCTGGACTAGTCCAACATATGGGGGATGTAATCACTGTTGTACATAATTCTTTTTCAACAATCCCAAGGAGCTTTTGTTGAAGGTAGACAAATTGTTCACCAGATTTTAGTGGTTAATGAATGGGTAGTAGAGAAGAAAAAAGGTGGGAAAGGTTTTATTAGTAAGCTGGATTTGGAAAAGGCTTATGATTTGGTGGATTGGTCCTTCCTTCTTGAAGTTATGGAGAAAGCCGGTTTTGGGGAAAGATGGAGGTGGTGGATTAAGGGATGCTTGAGCTCAATGCAATATTCAATTCTGATCATTGGGTTTGCTAGAGTTTTTTTACTAGCTCAAAGAGGATTGAGACAGGGTGACCCCTTATCCCCCTTTATTTTCACCTTGATTGCAGAGGTCCTGAGTGGAATGATCACAAAGGCGGATTTGAATGGTTTAATTAGAGGTTGGAGGTGGGAAGGAATGATATTATAGTTACCCACTTGCAATTTGTAGATGACATAATACTATTTTGTGAGGAGACTAGTCCTAAGACCCTTAGGAATCTTACAGATTTGGTAAGATCCTTTGAGAAGCTTTCTAATTTAAGGATCAACTTGGGGAAAAGTTGTCTGGTGGGCTGGACTTGCAAGATGGGGAAGTCCTTAGTATAGCAGAGGTCTTTAGGTTGTGAAGTCAAGAATTGGACTTTGGAGTATCTAGGACTTCCCCTGGGTGGAACCTAAGATTTGAGAGTTTTTGGAAGAGGAACTACATTTCTTTGGGTGGAAGGATTACTTTGATCAAAGTCACTTTGGCCAATCTTCCCATCTTCTTCTTAACCATTTTTCGCATTCCTGTCAAAATTGTTGGGAAGATAGAAAAGTTAATGCTAGATTTCTTGTGGGAATCGGGGGATGGAAAGAAAGATCACTTGGTGAAATGGGAACATGTTAGTAGACCTAAATAGAAGGGTGGGGTGGGGTTAGGTAACATAATCTAGAAGAATTTAGCTCTCTTAGGAAAGTGGTTGTGGAGGTTTCCTCTAGAGAGAAATAGGCTCTGGCACAAGGTTATTGAAAGCATACATGTATGGGTGGATAATATTGGTATGCAAAGGTAGCTCCCAATGCAAATTCCTTTTCTCCCTGGAAAACAATTTATGTGGTATATCCTTTGTTTATTAACCTCATTCGGTATGATGTGGGCAATGGGCTAAGAGTCTTATTTTGGGAGGACCTTTGGATTGGTATTCAGCCACTAAAGGTCCAATTTTTTGAACTTTACGCACCGTCCAATTACAAAAGTGAACCCATTTCTAAGTTTGTGATCTTCTTTGCCTCGGGCTTAAATTGGGATTTTGGTTTTAGAAGGTGTCTTAGGGAATTGGAGTGTGAATCCCTTATCTAGGGGTGGATTCGAGCCAAGATGAGCTGAATACTTGGCCATTCGAGCTCAACTCGCTGAAATTGTGTTAGGCTCGAGCTCGAGCTCGAGTTCGATTCGAGCTAGAGACTTGAGCTCGAGCTTGGCTAGATTCAAAGCTCGCAAGTTCGAGCTTGGCTTGGCTCAGCTTGAGCTCGTCTGCAAGCCAATTGTTTTCTAAAAAATAAAATTATACATATATATTTTTTATTTTATATACAAAAAATTAAGAATTATAAAAAATATTTATTATTATACATATAAAAAATAAAAAAATATACATATAAAATTATTTTTATTTTACACTCAAAAAAATAAGGATTATAAAAATTATTTACTATTATACATAAAAAATAAAAATATTATATATAAAATATCATTATATATAATAAAAATGATTTATTATATATATTTATATGTATGTATGTATGTATATAATAAAAAAATATTTATTTATTATACTAGGCTCGATTAGGCTTGCGAGCCTCATGAGCCGATCTTCACTGGGCTTGAGTTTGGCTCGATTAGCAAACAAGCCTATATATCAGGCTTGAGTTCAGCTCGAAGCTCAGTTTAAACTGAGCTGAGCTCGGCTCGTGGGCACCCTTACTCTTATCCTTCTTTTGGCCAGACTTGACTCTATTTTTTGGATCAATATGTTGAGGGTAACAGGGTATGGTCTATCTCCTCAGAAGGCTTTTTCACTTGTACTTCCTTCTTGAATTTCTTGATTCAGCTTTCTACCTCAAGGGTGTCATTCCAGGTGAGAGTTTTGGAGCAAGCCAATCCCTCCTAAAATTCAGGCTCTTTCTTTGATCCAAACTTCTTGGGATAGCCAAGAAAAGAGGGACAATGATGTGGAAAGCTGTGAGATCCGCCTTGATATGGACTATTTGGGTAGAAAGAAATGAGAGGATCTTCAAGGATAAGAGTAGAGCAGAAATGGAAATCATGGACACAGTAAAAATAAAAGTTGTCCGTTGGGTTAAGAGTATGGAGGATTTCCAAAATTTCTCTCTAAATGACATTTTTTGAGAAAGTGGAAGGAAGTGACATTGTTGGTTAAAAACAAGGAAATAGTGATCACGGTGTGGAGACAATCAGCAGCCAACTTTGTTAAACTTAACTTTGATGGGAGTTACTGGCAATCAGACAGCGGCTGGGTTGGGAGGGGTCTTCAGAGATTCAGAAGGAGGGGGTATTGCTTCTTGTGACATTTGAAGCTTCTTATGTTGGTTTTATTTATTTTATTCTTATTTCTATTCCCTTTTTTTTATATATAGCATGTATGGTGAACATCTTTCTTTTTTCTCCTTTCCCCCACTTTTCTATTATAACTCACACATCTTTCTTTTTTAATCAACAACAGAAACATTTCATTAATAATAACAATTATAAAAACATATCATTAATAATAATAAAGCATAATTATAATCCAGGCAATTACATCCTGGAGCCGATGAATATGATACATCACAGCCCAGAACAATTGGTCCCTGGCAACCCCTTGCTTGGCTAATAAGTTTGCCAAGCCATTTGCAGATCCTCTGACCCAAGAAAAGGTAGCTTCAAGTTTCCTGGCAATGCATCCAATCTCCCTTAAAGCTTGTATGTGAGTCCACGCTCAGTTTCTGCTTTGAAGTCGTGATATCATCAATTTTGAGTCCCCTTCTACCTCCACCTATCTGTGTTCTAACTGCTTAGCTAGCCTTATACAGTGCTGTAATTTCTGCATTTAGGGAGTCTCCAGTCCCTATTGGACCCGAATACATGGCCATAATCGAACAATTGCCATCCCTAAATACACCTCCTATTCTAGAGGGACCTGAATTGAGAGCTTCCGTCAAAATTCAGCTTGATCCTATTGTTAATTGGATGCCTCCATTATTCATGTATTTGATTGCACACTGAAGAAGAAGCTGCAACCACTCCCCAAGCTCTCAGAAAGTCATCCACTGTGTATTCCTTGAAGATCTTCATTGTTTTTACCCAGTGAACACCTTTCAAAAATACTTTCTATGATTGGCTCCTTTGTTTTGTTAAGCTCTTTGAAGATTCTAGTACTTCTCTCTCCCATAAAGTCTAAACTATTGCAGCTCTAGTGGCCCTCCACCTAATTCTACCTCTCTTTTTAGGTTCTCTAAGAAACCTGGGGTTGAATAAGCTGGCGACATCTTGAGGAGGACCCTACCTTCAACCAAAGAGAGAGCAAAAGAACACCCAATAATTTCATGAAAGAACAGAAGATTAGTAAATGGGAGATAGGCTCACCACTAGCTTTGCAATGGATACAGAAGTGGGGCGAGAGACACCAACTTGGTCTTTCTTTTTTGAAGCATAGCAGAGGTGTTAATTTTACCTAGCACCACTTCCCAAAAGAATGCCTTAATCTTAGGAAGTTCTGGTATACCAGGAGTGGCTGGCCAAATACGACTATCCCCACAAGAGTGATCCAGGAACACACTCCCAAGTTTAGATTACAACTCAACCACAGAGGAGCATTGCCCATCCCTAATACCCCTTCTAAAACCAAAGTCCCAACCAWCCCCATTGGCAGATGACAAACAAAATTTTGAAATAGGTTCCTTCTTGTAAGAAGAAAGAGAATATTATAACTCACACATCTTGCTGGTCTAGTCTAGTGCTATTAATGTCAACTAGTCAGTGATTAGCCAGCTGAGGATCATACCAAATACATCACTAACTAGTTGGTGGTGGTGCCTATGATGCAGTCACCTAGGGCTAAGCATCAACTAGATCGACTAGATTGACTGAAAACTGGTCAGAATAGCCAACCTAGTCAACCACAAAACTATTTTAAAGTTCTATTTGCATGTCTTTATTTTGTTATATGCACATTATTTGCGTTAAACATTTTAACATTTCTGATGATACATGGTTGGGTGATGATATATAGAATACAGACAAGGCATAAGATAAAGAATAACGGTGAAAGAATTCTTTTAGTTATTCAATTATCAAAAAAAAAAATTCTTTTAGTTATTCTTGCGATCAATTATGTGCCGGTATGGAATTACCACAAAGGCACAAACAGGGGGATCACAGTAAATAATTCAAATTGCATTGTTTTTTTTCCTGAAAAGAAAGACTACCACTCCCTATCTCAATGTATCTTACTTTTCTTTTTTTTTTTTTTTGTTTGCAAAAGAGACAGTAAATTACATCTTTTATATCATTCTTTTATTGCATATTTTTCTGTCTTTATTGACTTAAATATGATACTGCATTAATATCTTATATATATATATTGTGTGTGTGTGTGTGTGTATTTGTCTAGTAATCGGTTCACTGCGTTGTTTAGGGAGGTTTAACGATTAGCCATCATTTCATTGCATTGATAAACTGCCCTATGCTAATTTTTTTTTTTCTCCTTGAGTGATCTCAGTATGCCCGGCAATGATCTTAGCTTTAATCCAGATGGATCTGCTGTGAACCCTGGAGCCTTCCAACAGCATGTGAGGCGTGATTCTAATATGATGGCCCAACTTCTTCAGGTAGACTGCATTACCTTGTTCTCTTATCTTCTTGTCTATTTAATGATCATGAAACTCTGCTGTCAGTTTTAATTAATCAGTATCTTCCAATTGATTAGAATCTAAATTCATATTAGTTAGATGTGATTTTTTTTGATGAATTATTATTTAGATGTGATTAATATTTTTGATTGTTAAAATTGCTATTAATTCAAGATAGAAATGTAAAATATACAATGTCAATTAATCCTGGATGGGCTGGATATGCTTCCACCTAACCCATACTTTTTTTTTGAGAGAGAACTTTTTACATTACTTTTTCTTTGAAGAATAAAGAACCAAATACCCCACAGATTACAGGCTTGAAAACCCATCCAACCCAAGATAAAACCCGAAATCGACCCAAAGCAAATCCCCAAAGAAATCAAAAACATTGGCCCGACAGCTGACCCAATCAAAACCCTTTCCTGAAACACCACCCTTCAGTTTAAATCCGTGAGAACATCATCCTCCTGGTCCGAGACATCCTCATCCCAGACCTTGTTTCCTTTGGAAAGTAATTTTTTCTTCAATAACTCTTCCTTTTTTCTTTTCCTGAATTTCTCAAAGGCTCTCCTGGCAAACTCCTCCCCACCCCAGAAAAACAGACCCAGGCTTTTCCCAATTTTAACCTCTCTATCCACCAATTTCTGAAGAGCTTAATCACTTGATTCTCTGTCAATAGTATTACTACCCTTCTGCAACTTGTTCTCACCTGGGTCAATTACAGTACCTCTTAACTCGTTCTCCTGATGTTCCTCCGTCGAATGGGGAGTTGAAGCCTGAACTTGCTTCGTTGCCTCTCCATGGTCTGAACCAGATATCCCCTTACTTCTCACTCTCTTCCTTCTATACACCCATTTGTATTTTTTGTAGGTCCTGCCCCCACTAGGCTGATTTTGAGCCTAGAAAAAATCTTTGTCACATGTACAATGTTATGGTTTCTCAAATTACTTAATTTCTTGTTAATTATCCCGTTGGTCTGTTCCTCCTCCTCCTCCTCAAGTTTGCTCCTTCGGCCTAAGTTGACACCCAACCTACCAATCTTTATTTCTTCAAAATGCAAATGATCCTTGACATAGTGCACCCTGCCCTTTAGGGAGTTCCTCACCATTTGAAACTCCCTTTCCTCCAACCGCACCTTCACTTTCCATCTCGACATTGGCGTTATCTCTCCTCTGAGCTGCCTCATCCCTCCCTTCCACCCTCTCTGCTTCTGCTGAGGCCAGCTCATCTGAAAACTTCGGATCTGGTTTTCCTACTTCACCCCCAACCACTAGGGGCATCAAACATGTAATTGCAGATTTGGAGGAACCTTGGATCCCTTCGGGATCCCTGTAACCTGAGACAGAATTCCTGCATCACCATTCACAGGAGAAGAAAAGTAGTCGTTGGGAGCCTCTTGTGGTCCACCTACAATCCTCTTCCTACCTTTTTTGTCATACCTGGCGATCACCCAGATCCATCTTTCTCTAGCCTCATGCGAATTCCTTCTTACTGTCGTTTCACTCCTTTTAAAAATTGGTCTGATGAATCCAGGATACTTTTTCTTGTTGATTCCTTCCTTCTGAACTGATTCTCCTTTTTGCCATTGAACTCAACATTGATGTAGCCTTCATTCGACCTTTCTATTGGGCAGGACAAAAACTTCAGTTGAGTACCCTATTCAGAGAAAACCGACGAGTGTTGTGCATCACGCTTCTTTACCTCACCATCGATTCCTGGAAGGGGTTCATCTGTTCTCGCTGAATCCCCGTAAGTCCCATCATGTAATATAGTAGGGGAGACACAGCAGGAATGGCAACTAAATTTGAGCAGGCCTCATCGCTCGAATTTATCAAAGGCCCAAGTTTCAAGTGATTAATAAGGTAATCACGTGAGTTTGTAACCTCAGCTGATCTATTCTTTTGAACCGCTGGCTAACCATTCTCTTTGTATGGTGGACCCCACCCACTCGTCGATTCATTCTCCTTCAATGCTGTTTTTTTTTTTTTTATAATTTAAAGATTCTTTAAATTTCATTAAAACAGTAGAGATAAACAACTGTTACAAGCTTCCCCAATAGAGGCACAAGATGCAGCCTCACTCATAAAGAAAAGACAGCACAAAAATTACAATTGAGCCCAAAACAAATGATCCCTAGTTACCCCTTGCTTAGCTAAAGAATCAGCCATAGCATTCGCCTACCTCTCCACCCATTGTATAATCAAGCTCATCTGTTGTGTTAACCATCTGAATTTCTTCATTTCGTCTCGATAGCTTCCCTCCCTCCCCTTCAATGCTGTTTCCCCGTGCAATCCTCTTTCCCTGTGCGAGCCTCTTTCTTCATTAACCTCATTTATTCCCCCTTCTGTATTCAAGTCTGGAATTTTAAGCGTCTCACCCTACTTCTTCCCAGCATCCTTTCCAGCCTCCATGTCACTGCCCACCTGTGAGAGGTCAGTTACCCATACCTTGCCACTTGTAACCCGACCTACCATGTCATCACCCTCCTTCATCCTCCCAAACCAGAGCACCGCTTCCACTTCTGAAGCCACCCACACCGCTTCCACTTCTGAAGCCACCCACACCCTGTTCCATGGGCCTCCGGTGTGCAGCATGAAGGACCTTGGTATCATCTCCGACTTGACTCCAGCAATCTTTAGGCATAGTGCCCTCAGACCAAGTTTGTTGAATGAAAGCAGCACACCTTCCATTGCTGTCGCTATCTGCTGAAGGATTTCTCCCTGCCAAAGATTGGAAGGCAGGCCCAGCAGGCTCAAATGAAAACAGCCATTGTTTAACTCCAGATAGTTGCAAGACAGGAACCATTTCCTGATCGTCACAGTCTCATCTTTCGTGTCTACTGTCTCACAATCCACCTGTCTTTCCTGCCTCCAGAATAGCCTTCCTCTCATTGAAAGGTATGAGAACTGTTTATTCTTGAACCCTTACTCTTTTGTCATGTCTTCTGAGATTCTTGTCCAGTTCTTCACTTCTTCTCTTGCCATAACCACTAGCTTTTGCTCCCAGTCCCCCTTCTCTCCATATAGTCTGATTCTTGGCTCCGATGTGAATAAAACACTTGTCACAGGGTTCTTACAATTGAACTTATCTTCGATTCCTTTTGCTTCTCCATATAGTTTGGGTTTCCATCGACCAAAACTGCTATTCCCTTTTTTTTGTTCAACCGAACTCAAGATTTCAAGAAGACTTCTCAGTTCTCACAGACCAAACTCAAGATTCAAGATCAAGAATATTGGAGGGAGGAAGACAAATCGAATCGTGCGTACAGAGGTACAGGTCCTCCTCCTCCTCCATCTCCTGTATGAATCCAGTTTCAATATTAAATGCATTTCAATATTTCCTGAACTGAAATGCATTCCAGAAATATATTGAATCTGGATCAATATTAATTTGTTATATTGTTAATTTGTTTTTTGCTTATTTATTAATTTGTTATTTCAATGAACATGATAAGTGCTGTGATGATACATGTTGCATACAATGAACATGATATTGTTATTTATTAATTTGACTACAGATTTGTTATTCTCATTTGAATGTTTCCTATTTTTTCTTGATTTATCCTTGGGTTATTTTTTATACAAATTTTGGCATGTTCAACTTGATTTGAACAATCAGCAATTGTTGAACCATACATTAAGTCACAAACAATTGTGTAAACTTTCAATTATTTATTTTTTCATAATTTTTTAATTTTTTAATTTGAGGCTTACACCTCAAACCGCCTCGAGGCTTACACCTCGCCTCTTTAGCACCCAACCACCTCACCTCCGCCTTTAGCCTTACCTTGATCCTTCCTGATTCTTACCTTCTCGTATAATAATCATTTGCTTCTTTCCTTTCTCGAACCTTTCTTCTAACGAAACAAACCCACCTTTGAGTTCCTTCTTCTTGCTGCAAAGTAGTCTTTATGCCTAAAGCTGAGTGTCTTTCCAGTCCATTCTCCAGTTCACATTCACTGCTCCATCTAGGAAACTCTGAAACCAGAACACCGCTTCCCCCACTAGCAAAACTGTACCTCTCCTGCCCTCTCGAATCTTAACTGTAATCTCTTTCTGTTGAGACATGTTCTCCAACAGAAACTCCTTCTTTCCACTTTGAAAAAACTCCACATCTTCTACCGGGTACTTGAGATCCCCAAGTGGTGATCCTGCTGTGATTTTTTCAGAAGAGCTGTACTAATGTGGTTAATTTACAAATGATGAATTTTTGACTTTTATGAATACTTTCGTATAATACAGTTTTATCTTTCTTTTTATCTTTTTTCATGGAAAGAGCATGTTTAAACTAGCATTCAGAAGGAAAAATAAAATATTTAGCAATGATTTGAATAGTGGAACCAAGGAAAGTGAAAAAGATGGGATACAAAAGCAGAACATAACTCATTAAGGTCACCATGGAGAGATTACAAAGCCAAAACAGAAAAAAGAAGGAAAAAAAAGCTAAGAAGAGCCCCAATTCTATGATTCCTTCACCATGCTTCCTCGGGTGAAACTATCTCTTAGCAAGGTCTCCAATCTGGGAATTCATTTTGAGAAGATATTTACTCTATATGCAAAACTCTTGCCTCCCTATTAAACTGTCTTAAACTCCATGGGCCATCTGACTCGTCTCTCAACCACCTAATGGTAACATGGGAATTATCCCCCATCTCTCATGTCTGAAAACCCAAAACCTGAGAAGAATCAACTTATGCAACACATACATGATAAGGACATCTCTTTGGTGAAGTTTTTGGACACAAAGTTTATATGAAGTGTTTGACATGGATGCAACATCCATTTTTTAGTGTCCATTGAATGTGGAGAAAGATATCCCTTGTAGAAAAGACAAAGTCCCTACTTTGTTGGAATCTCCCACTATCATTGTGCTAAAATAGGCAAGAATCACCCATTCCCTCTGTGACTCTGTTTCTAAATGCATGTCCAATATTAGAGGCACCAAAGATCTTAAGCAAACAACCATCAACATTAAGCTTGGTAAAAGAAGCTATGGACTGTGGCTCTCTGGTTGGCATTGACAAAGCCACTCAAACAGTGATCAAATCAATCATAGGCTCAAATGAGGTAATCTGTTGGAAAGAAATTGTGGGATTCGTCTCCTGGAGAGGTTGTTGGAACTAAATCACAATCTAAGCTGTAAATATCATTTTGTTTTGATAAATGAGTGGTAATTTTATTAAGAAGAGAAGAAAGTGTACAGTCAGCAGCCCAAAAGGAGGCACAAGATGTTAACCTCCCCTTAGGAATGAGGATATAATYACACTCTTAAGCTGTAAATATCATGGCTATCTGGTTAATTAAAAGTAATAATTCTCTCATGATCAAGTGTTGTGTGACCTGAATCTGACCTATCTTTGCATACTGTCAATCCTCAATAAATTTGAACTGCTGGCATAATTATCATTTTCAGAGAGAAGAGCAGATGAAGTTTTGGGTTCTTGGGTTTAGAACTGGTTTTGATTTCGACCCTGCCCAACTTATCAGTTCTATGTTGCTCCCTGATAGGTAACTGAAATTCAAATCAAAATATATTTTTTAAGATAAATAAAGAAAAAAAAATTATTACTAAAAAGAGTTTACAGCTCAAAAGATGACAAGAGGTCACCCCCAGAAACAACCAGAAAAAACAATAAAACAGGCTTAAATGCAAAATACATCAGAAACCCCGAAAATTAAGCTTTCAAAGAGCTCCAGAAGTCTGCCCCAAAATCTTCTTTTAATCCTTGAAAATCTGGTAGAGGTAACACCCAACCAATGATTGATGAACTGATCCAAGCCACCCACCTCTTCCCAACTTTTCTTCTTATTCTCGAAGATTCTTCTATTTCTTTCCTTACAAACTTCCCAACACACCGCAAGTGGAATGCAGCTCAGCTTGACCTTAGGACCACCCTGAACTCTTGGCCAAAGTCCAAAGATTTCAGACTGGTCTGAGATTGACCACCGATCTACTTTAAACAGCTTGAAAAAGTGGAACCATATTGGGGAAACGAAGCTGCACCCTAGAACAAATGCATAATGTTTTCTTCTCCAGATAAGCATAGGGCACACCTGCTTGGAAATTGAAATCCTCGACTCTTTATGATGTCCTGAGTCAGAATACACCCCCTGGCTATTAACCATGCAAAGGCTTTCCACTCTTAGGGCACAGGTTTCCCCCACACTCTCTGAATTGGATCAGTTTCCACCATATTTCTGATCAGAATTAGAGTACATTGACTTGACTGTAAATTTTCCATCCTTACATTCCTTCCACCATCTGATATCACCAACTGATGGATTAATTTCCAAAGATTGCAATTTGGACAGCAGCTCCACACATTCCTCTAGCTCCTAGTCGAGTAAAGGTCTTCTGAAATTTGGTGTCCACACCACAGAACCATTTTGAAATTTAAATCAAAATATGGTATGTATGACATGCCCATTGTCCCATAGATTAATATTAGCAATTCTATGTTGCTCCCTGAGAAAGGGGAGGCAAAAACAAAAAGAGGAGTAAATGCATCACAAGACAGTGTCAATCCCTTTGTTCTCCCTGGATTTCGTCATAGTTCTTTTTTTTTTCTTTTTCTTTTTCCCGCTTCATAGTTTGTGTCTTGAGCTTCAAAATAGATATAATAGGACTTTCAACTTAGGCTGCATTTGGAATGTTGTCAGAGAATTAATTCTGAAAGTTTGGTTTTATGAAAATTGTTGGAACTAATTCTTTTTCTGGGCTGAAAACTCACTATAAGAATTGTTCAGGCTGGAACTAATTCTTTTTCTGGGCTAAAAAATTTTACTTCAAAAGAACCATTTTGGCTCAGAACTCATTCTTCAAACAGTGATTCTCTGAAGCAAAATTTTAACCAAACATAAGCTTAGCCCCTTAGCCTTTTCAGAATCTTCTTGGGAGATAAAAATGAAACTGTAAGGTTGAAGTGGACTTTCCATTTTATCGTCTTGGAAATGCTAACACCAATGGAACACAGTAGTTGTTTAGGAATGGTTACACTAGGATTAAAAGAGGTGCTGACAGAAGTACTTCAGTGCTTTTTCTGAAAGATGCTGATCTCCCTTTGCCTAATTATGCACTGCCACCTCCCTTGTACACTACTGTCTATTCTCATTGTTGACTGTTAAGGCCCCCTTTTTCCTTTTATTCTTTTTAAGTATAGTGTGTTTTTAATAATATTCACAACCTCAAGCCTATTTTGACTTTTCCCCATTTTTTGTCCTGGGAAGAAATAATTATTGTCAAGGTAGATTTTATTTTGATCACTAACCGTTAAAGTTTTACTAATATGAATAAGAGAATGGTATATGTGCAACTATGTGCCTAATCCCCAGATATTGGCCTAGTCCATGCAAATCACCCATCAGGGGAAATCAGACCCCAATACAACTGGCTTCTGTTTTCTCCTTATCTTGCTAACCCATTATTAGCCACCTCATTCTATTCTTTAACCAGACCACCACTGTGTGGAATCCCCTTCCACCATTAAATCTCTATATTCAAGAGATTTGCCTCAGTCCTAGTAGAACTGCCACTATTTCTTCCTCAGTCGATTCTTTGTGTCCGATAGGTCCAGGATACAGAGCCAAAATGACCCCACACTTTTCTGATTGCTCCCCTTATTCCTGAGAATCCTGGAGTATCCAAACTGTCACAACACCCATCAAAGTTTAATTTTACAATATTAGAGTTTGGAGGGATCCAAGGAAGGTTAGGAAGAGTCCTTGTCAAAGATGTCACCATGACCTTCCAATTTATAATAATGTTGGAGAAGGGTGAGAAAGCCTCCATGGATTTTATCTAATGTGCTGTCTTTAGTTTTCAGGGTAGATTCTTATATGAATTTTATTCATCTTAACCAATGTATTATAATATTTTGAAGATTTTGTTAAAATTCCATGATTTCTTTATTCTACCATCTTTCCTTTGTTTTGTCGAACCTTATTTTTGTTGTGATTTACAAGTCTTTGCTGTAACTGGTGTTTATACAACTTACAGACTGATCCAGAACTTGCACAAGCTCTTCTTGGCAATGATCTCAATAGACTGCAGAACTTATTGCGTGAACGGCATCAACAAAGATCTGATCTACGCCGCCGACAAGAGGAGGAGCTTGTAAGGGTTTTATTTCAGTATATCATTTGTTCTTCTGTACTTGGTCTTTCAGGAATAGTATTAGTGTTTGCATTTCAACTGCAGTAATTGGCTTGTTTGATCAAATTTTATGGTAATGAGTGCATGGTTTTGACATCAGGCTCCTCCTAGAACCACTTCTTGAAATAAATGCGTTTCATTTACTTCTTGTTTGGCTTAAGCATCAGCCATGCTATTAGTACACCTTGGGTTCCACTGGAAAGTAACAACCAATTCTTGTGCCAATGATATGGCTTCCCTCAACAGAAATCTAGATTTCAATGTTCCTGCACATTTTTTTCTTAACCAACCCACTACTACCTTGCAATCCCCCTCTGCTATGATATTCCTATACTTAGTTAAGAACTCTGCCCAACCTTAGTTCTTACAGAACCACCTGGTGTTCTGCCCTAATGGAATCTCCATATCTATTGGGCCCTGAGAAGAGTGCCATAACAGTCCCATCATGCCTTCCAAAAACTCCACCAATGCTTTAGCTACCCAGGTTGTCTAGGCTGCAATTATCAAAGCTCATCTTGAAATTGGGTTCAGTGGGAAGCAGTCATTGGACAATTACTCTTGTTTTAGCTGTGGAGTCAGAAACGACTTGCTAAATCCTAACAATATTAAAACAAAGTATGTGAAAGTGGGCAAAGTCTTCACCCAATTCACCATCCTTGCCATGCTCATTTCCATCAATGCTTTCTTAGTTTGACTTTAATTATGTAAATTTAATAAGAAAAGAAGTTTTTTTTTTTAAACCAGGGTACACTTTGAGACCAAGAGACTCAATGTGACCTCTTCTGTTACCTTGATTCAATAAGAGAGAGAGGGAGGGAGGGAGTTGCCCATGGGATTAGAGCAGGATCAAAGGTGTATACTACTCAGGCCAAAAAAAAGGAAAATTTTATACAAAGAAGAACACTTGAAGGATAGGGAGGGAGGGAGTTGCCCATGGAATTAGAGCAGGATGAAAGGTGTATACCACTCAGGCCAAAAAAGGGAAAATTTTATACAAAGAATAACACTTGAAGGATAGGATCAGAAATGAACTCATTTGAAGGAACCTTGGAGTAACTCCAGTAGGTGATAAAATGAAGAAAAGTAGACTAAGATGGTTTGGTCAGTACAGAGAAGACCATCTACAGCACCCGCAAGAAGTATTGATCTATTACAAGTTGAGGGCGCTAGAAGAGCTTGGGGTAGACCAAAAAGAACATGGGTTGAAATAGTAAGAAATGATTAAGTGTGAGGCTTTTCAATCTCTCCTTGGCCGGTGGTTGTGGAGATTCTCTAGTGATACTGATGATCTCTGGAGGAAGCTTATTTTGGGCAAGATTGGCAGGACAGCCTGGGCAGTGATCCCTCTAGCAGCTTTTTGGGCGATTTGGTCTGAAAGGAACTCTCATCTTTTTGAGCAGAAAAAGAGTTAGGTAGAAGTTGTCATTAACTTGTCTGTTGGTCTGATTAGGAACTGGCTCTCAGCAAAAAAAAATATTTGTAGGGAGCACAGTCTTACTTTTTTGTCTAGACCTTTTTTGTCATATTTGAAGCCCTGTGGATGGATTGTATAGAATCTCTTTTTACATGGGTGTTTATAGTTTTGATATCTAACACAATTTTTTAACTTTTTTTTCAAAAAAAAAAAGGGGCTCATAATTTGATAATGGATATGGCACTGAACAGAATGGAATGGCGAAACAGGATTTGTGGCCAACCCTATATAGTTGGTCAAATGGGATGTGGTGTGTAAACCTAAAAAAGATGGGGGTTTAGGAGTGAGAAGGGTGGGAGTCTTTAATAAAGCTTTGTTGGGAAAGTTGGTGTGGAGGTTTGGGAGGGATTGAGGGAGAGGGAGGCCCTTTGGAGGAGAGTGGTGGCTTGTAAGTATGGGGTGGTGAACTTTGGGTGGGATACAATGGAAGTGATGTCTTCTTATGGGGTAAGCGTGTGGAAAGGGACACTGAGTTTGAATTCCTTGGTGCTTCCTTTCTTATCTTGGAGGGTGGGGAGTGGGACCAGTATAAGATTTTGGGAGGATGATTGGACAGGGATTAGGAAGTTGTGTGAGATATGTCCAAGGTTGTATAACCTGTGTAAGAAGGGAGTGCCTATATCTGATTGCTTTGAAATAATTAATGGCTCTGTGGTTTAGAGCCCGGATTTTAGAAGACCATTATTTGATTGGGAGTTGGACGAGTGCTTGGAGGTGCTGGCAAAGCTTCAGATAGTGGAGATTGACCCCTTGGCTTCAGATATCAGATGGTGGAAAGAATCTAAGGATGGAAAGTTCACTATCAAATCTATGTTTATTGCTTTGTTTAGGAATCAGGAGGAGCCTGAACCAATTAGAGGTGTTTGGGGGAAACCTGTTCCCCCTAGGGTGGAAGCTTTTGCTTGGCTGATTGCTAGAGGCTCTATTTTAATACAGGACATATTAAAGAAAAGAGGTTATCAGTTTCCAAACAGATGTGTGCTGTGTTTTACTGAAGAGGAAAATATTCTGCACCTGTTGGTTCAATGCAATTTTGTGAAATCAATCTGGTCCTACTTCAAACTCTTCAATGTGGATATGTTGTCAGCATTAGACACGGCTGGGATTTTTGGTTCTTTCCTAGGGTTCAGGGTGGTCCTAGGGCAGAATTTTTATGGAGCTGTATCTCCTTTGCTGTATGTTGGGAGGTGTGGAGGGAGAGAAACAGGAGGATTTTTGAGGAGAAGAGGAAAAGTTTGGAAGATGTTGGGGTGGCAATCAGTTCTTCAGTTATTGGCTGGGTTCTGTTTCTTCCGGATTTTGAAGGTCTAACGAAGGAAGACTTCGGTGCTGACTTTTGGGTCACTCTGCATGCTTAATATGAGTTTTTTGGTTATGCTTTATGTACTTTGAAGTTTGTTTGTTGTGATTCTTCTCCTTGTCTTTTGTATTTGATGGATGGGGTGACTCCTTGTCACCTGTTTAAGATGTATCCTCCTTGTTTAGCAATAAAATTTTCTTCTTTTTTTATCTTCAGAAAAACTGATGATCAGTTCTAGTTACGGTGGTTAACATGAAATCTAGGACTGTACATAGGTTTATATTTGTTTATGATGATGAATATACTTTAATTGTCTTTATTTAAAAGTATCAAATAAAATCACCCTTTCAGAATCTTTCAAATAGTTCATCGAGCAGGTCAGAAAGAGTGCATTTTTTTTTGGGGGGGGGGAGATGTTGGGGCATGGGATTCATTTTGAAGTGTTGATGGGGTTGTTTAACTGTGTTTTGAGGGGGTGTGGTGAATTTTTATTTGTTAAGGTTGTCTGGCCAAGTTATTGTTTTGTGCTGTTGGTTGGTTAGGGGTATGCAATTGTTTCATCCTGTCTTAGGTTGTTTTGTGTTGGAGTTGTTTAACGATGAGCTCCCAGTTACCTGGTGGAATTTAAGGTATAGGAGCTTTTGTTGATTTTTCTATTTTCTGGTTTTCATTGTGGATTTCCCTGGTGTTGTACTGTGTTGTTTTGGGTGATTCTTTGCTTATTGTCTTGGTGATGTCTTATCACCTCAGATTGTATTTATTGGTTCCTTCCTTTTTTAATATATTTCTTTTTATTTACTAAAAAATTAAATATTTTTAAGTTGGATAGTTTTGTCCTCTATTTTATCCCCTTTCTGTTTTTTCTTTTCAATCAAGAAAAATATATATTTTTCTTTTGCAAGAGTGTTAAAAATGTCATAAATAATGTTTGTAACATTGAAGCTACTATTCTGTTTGTATGTAAATGATATAATTCCATATCTGTCTAAGTCTATTTCCCCCATTCTATCACATCTCCATGATACTGATACTTTGGTGCTACTTCTTGTTTTGGTCTTCAGGCATTGATGTATGCAGATCCTTTTGATGTGGAAGCACAGAAAAAAATTGAAGCTGCCATCCGCCAGGTTAGTGCCTTTTTGTGCAAGAAATTTTAGTAATTCTACTTTTTTTTTGATAAGTAATTTTATTAGAAACAGAATATTCATCAGTACAAACATCCCATTCCTTGGGAGAGGTGTGAGGTTCACCTCATCCAAATACAGAAAAAGAAAAAGTACAAGTTACTTTTGAGCCCAGAACAAGTGATCCCTATAAACCCCCTGTTTGGCTAGAGAGTCAGCCATTCCATTGGTCGATGACTCCCATTGAAACAACACTGTTAAGTTACTGGTGAGCCATTTGACCTTCTTAAATTCATCCCTAAATTCCCAATTAATAGTTTCCAGGTTTTGTAGCCACCCCACTACCATTTTGGAGTCTCATTCCACAACTAGTCTGCTCAAATTCAAATCTTTTGCTATTTGTAGACCTTGAACTACTGCCAGAAGCTTGGCCCCGATTGAGTCTCCCAGACCTGCTGGACCTGAAAAACAGCAATAACATGTCCATCTTTGTTCCTGTAAACTCCTCCAATCCCAGAAGGGCCTGGATTTCTAAGGCTGGTCCCATCAAAGTTAAACATAATTAAGTCATCTACGGGCAGAATCCAAGTAATAATAGTCATCTGCCTTCTAGAAGAGCTATCTGCCACCTTGCCCCAATTCCTCCAAAGGTCATCAAGGGAGAACTGAGAAAATAGGTCCAATGTTTTCACCCCATGTATAACCTTTGCCAAAATGCAATCTTTCACAGCTTCTACACTCCTTTCCTTCTCAAGAAAGAGCCTTGCATTTTGTTCTTCCCAAATAGTCCATGACACTGCTGATTGCTTCCCTCGTGCACCTCCACAAAATTCTTTCCCTCTTCTTGGGCCACTGAAATATATTTGGTTCGAACAACCCGCTCACCTCCATTGGTAGAGTTCATGTGATTCTAAATAAAGAAAAGAAACAATCCCAAATCTCTACAACAAAGGGACAAGAAACTAATAGATGGTAACAACTCTCTCCATTAGCCTTGCACAAGATGCACCAATTAGGGGATGAGCAAAGATAAAGTCTCCTTTTCTGCAGATTACCTATAGTATTAATTTTCCCATGAAAAACTTTCCAACAATAAGCACAAATCTTAGGGGGGATGGGGTTTTACCAAAACTCCTTGAAAGGAGCAAAAAGGGCTTGGGCTGAAGAGCAGAGAGAGCTAAAGAACAAGGCCCAAGTGAAGACCCTTTTTGGGTGAGGGGCCCAAACACATTTATTAGACATAGAGAGGTCAAAAGAAGCTTTTCCCCTAACATCCAATAGCTGGACCAAATCCCCAACCTCACTCTCTCTCAAACCAAATTTGAAGTCGAAATCCTAGTTCAAATTCACGAGAAGCAATGGCGGAGGTAGGAACCTAGAGATAGATTCCTTTTTAAACAAAGAAACAGAGTACAACGAAGGAAAGTGATCTTTAAGAGATAAATTACCAATCCACACATCTTCCCAAAATAACAGAGTCCCTAGAGCAGACATCATACTTGACATTAGACCTGTTCATGGGCCAGGCTTTGTCTATGTATCAACAGAATACATTCAGGCTTTAGCCTGAGCCTGGCCCGACCATCGGGCCTAGGTCTTGAGTCCAAGCCTGGGCCCAAACCCGAGCTCAACCAGAAATTCAAAAACAGAATTTTCTTTTTTATTCAATATAAAAGTCTTTTATTTATATTAAAAGCCCTCAAAACTCAAAAATAATAAAAGATCTCATTATTACTAGAAAAAAGAGGAGAGAAACAAAGAAAAAATATTGTATATATATTTTTTATTAAGTAAAATATGTTTTTTATTATATAATATATATTATCAAGTCGGGCTTGGGCTCGGGCCGGGCTTTTTTGAGAAAGCCCGAGCCCGTAGGCCAAAAAAGCCTGAACCCGTAGGCCTAAAATAATGTATAAGCCCGACTTAGAACGGGCAAGGCTGGCCCGGCCTGTTGGGCTACCTGGCCCATGGAACAGGTCTATTGACATGATTTAAGGAAAGAGGGAGAATACTACCAATAGCTCTCCACTGTGAAGCCAACATTTGCCTGGCAGATATACTAGTGTCCTGGCCATTACCTGAAGCCCTATGAATGCTTGTCACCAATCTGCTCTACAACCTTTCCCTCTCAAGTGGCCATCTCCACAACCACTTCCCCAATGGAGCTATGTTCTTGCTAAATTCCCTATTTGCAAATCACCCTCCTTCTAGATACAACCTCCCACTTTATCAGGTGATTCTTTTTGCTCTCTCTAGGTCCCACAAGAAATCCCTCATCAACTTTTCTGACTTACAAACCTCCTTCTGGGGGATCCTAAAACACAAAGAGAAAATATACTGGGAGGTTAGCAAGTTTGAACATAATCAGAGTAATTCTACCCCCCAAAGAAATATAATTCCACTTCCCAAACAAATGGAATTCTAATTTATTTGAATCTTTATTGTTTTTGAATCTCCCTAAATGGAAGGATTGCCTTTTTATTCCAAAACTCATGTTACCAAGATACAACAAGGACATGTTGTTGAACAGGGATATCACTAAAAATTGAAGAATCTGACACAATGTGCCACCCTTGTACAGATATCCAGATATCAAATCCAATGCACCCATCATATGTTCACCTATCTAAATTTGTAGAACCTATTTAGATTTTGGTATTTAGCCTCTTGTTACTGAGGAGTGAGGACACCAATTTGGTTTTGTAAAAACCACTTATTTTTTCAGTTTTTGCATAAACTGAAAGCCTTCCCACCCTTCCCCTAAGTATCAATTTCACCTCTCCTCAACATTTTCCTTGAAGGTAGGGTGTATGATCCACATATTCTCAAATTTAAAAGGAATTGGTCCAAAGAAGGCTCATCTAATTGTAACAAAATAGGCCAATGGTCAGAAATAGGCGTAACCAATGATTTCACCATGACTGGTCATAATGTTCCTCCCATTATGTAGTAACCAGGAATCTGTCCAACTTACAGCAGATTGTATTTTCTTGCATGTTAGACCACGTAAATTGTGCATTTTGCAGGGGCAAATCTCTTAACAGGCAGTCTGAAATAAAGTTGTTAAAGTTCCTCAAGCTTTTTGTCACTCTAGAAGTTGCATTACTCTTTTCAGCACAGAAATGGGTAACATTAAAACCACCTGGATATGGCTATGCTTGAGGCCAGACACCCAGGTTATTTCCAATACCAACTTGTCTTTGATGAACTTGCAAAACCTAATAGGCCCTTTGAAACCTGGAGGCTTGAATCCATGGTGCTAGGTAGGTTCTCCAAAACCTTAATGGTTGAACAATGTGCTGGGTGAACTTTTGGGGCTAGTTTTGCAAGGGGCTCAGGTTCATTCAAGTGTCTGGTCAAGCCAAGGGAATTCAAACAGTGGTTAATTCCATTTCTTTTTTAATGCTATTCATTTTACGGCCAGGAATACCCCCCACCCCCCCAAACACCAAGAAAAAAAGAAGGTTCTTGATTTTATTGTTTAAGTGTGGCCAGCATATTGATGATTGAACTTGATAATTCTTGTATGCATATGTAATGAATCCCAATTCCTTCGTAGGTCCAAAGAGAAAAAAACTTGTGACTCGTAATTCTGGAGAGATGAAGATTTTTTTGATCAGTGTCAAACAACATATTCATGCCAGAAAAGAGGACCATGCATTCCAAAATTGGAATATAGGACTAGTACAAGCAGCTTATTGCTGACCATATAGATTTACGAATGTTGAGAATGTTCTTGATACAAACTCTTCCCAGGCCCAGGCAATCCCCAGTCCAAAAATATTTTATTTACTCCCTCCCTTGCCAGCCTATCTGCTAGACTGTTTTCTGATGCGGGAATTGATTTGAACAAGTGGTTCATTCTGGATACCAGTAGCTTGATTTCTCTTATCAGATGCCTTAGGCTTCATGGGCCTTGTTCTTCTGATGCTAGCTATCCAATTGCAATTTGGCAGTCACCTTCTATGGTAATCAGCCCAGCCCATTGAACTGCTCAGCTTGAGGCCCACCCCCACAACAACAAACCAGCTACAGATCCCAGAGACTCATTAAGCAACGTAGTCAGATTTTGATGCTGCAACCCTCTTCTAACCAAGTTATCCTTGGTCAGGCATCTGTCCAATACTGCAGTCCAAACCAAAGCATTGGCTCCCAGAGGAACCCTCAAAGTTAAAGTTTTTTTTTTGGGAAGAGTAAAGGGAAAATTTTCATTAAATAAAAATAAGGAAATACAATCTGAGAGGTGACAAGCTGACACCTGAACCGTACAAAACAGCTACAGACTAACGAACAGGGAATTGTTCAGTAATACAAATTTATAATTCAAGGATATTCCAAAAATTTCCCCCAAATCTGATCCACTAATTGATCAAATTGACGAAGCATCAATAATTCTGCCTGCCACCATGTTCCGACCAAGGTTCAAAATTTCGCAACGTATCGGACTGTATCGGCTGATATGTATGTTCCAACAAGAGCCTGATACATGGAACGTGTAGAAATCAGCCGTTCCGTTTATTTTCGTATGTATCACACCGATACGGGCCTGTATCGGGTTGTTTCGGCTCTATATTGGCTGATACAAGCCCAAAACAGTCTGATACAGCTTGATATACTTGATTTTTTTCGGGTGTCCATTCATTAATCTCATTAATTACTTCTACATTTAATTCTAACTTTTCTTTCATTAATTATTTAATTACTTCTACTTTAAATTTAAATTTGAATTTTAGTGCCTAATTCAAATTCTCTTATTAATTCCGCTAATTGATGATCATTTCTCATTAATTTTGTTTTGTTAGTATAAAAACTACGAAATTTAAACAATGGCAAGATTCAAACTTTAGTCACCTGGTTTTAACAACCGTAAGTCATCACTAGGTCACGCCCATTTGTTTGTTATGGTTGTATGCATTATTATTTTTAAGTAAATTTTCTCTTTTCTTAGTGGATATTTATTAATAAATGCTAGAATTAATTATTAAAATTTATATACTAATAAATATTAAGATAAATTGATGTATACACATAACATTTATATTGGTTATTTGAAAATTGATGTATACACTCTCATATTTTAGTTTTTTTTTTGTTTTCTCACATTTTATTTATTCCATCATTATTCAACAGTTATTAATTGTATCCCAATATCTCACACTATATAAACCATTAAATTATGGATTTTTACATTTAAATGACTTATTTACAATCATTTAAAACTTGTAATTATTGTTACTAATATATTTTTTAGGATATATTTGAATTTCCTAACATTTAAATTATGAATTGCCTTAACTTTGAGCAAACTTCTGTTCTTTTATTCCAAAGGACCCAGCAAATAGAAGAAGGGAAGCAACTCTACCCTATCCTTGCTTTTCTGCTACCATTGATCCTTCCTCACCCTCATTCTTACCCATTCTTCCTCGTTACCTTAAAAAGATTGAGCTTCGATCCCTCACATGTCCTCACCCAGCACCTCCTCCTCAGCCCTTCTTCGCCCCAATCTCTATTCTTCCCAATTCTTTCCTGTCTTATGTTTTTCTCCTCCCTTCTCACTTTCTCAAACTGCTTGAAAGCTTTCCTGGCAAAATCTTCCCCTCCCCAGAAGAACAGGCCTAGGGATTTCCGAACTGACACCTCTCTCTACCAGCTTGCAAATTTCCACCTTTCCATTAAGTTTCAGTTTACCAGTCTCTGGTCTTTCCCGTTGTACTAAAGTGGGTTGTCTTCTTGGTGCAGATTCCAGAGATGAGGATTTTGATATCTTAAATATATTTTAAACATTGTCCAAAATAAGTACTAAAGTGGATTTGATGTTTTAACAAAGTTGATAATAAAATTTTGTTCCTTGTTTTGCTTTTTGATTCTTGCTATGCATACCTACGAGTACAGAAAGGTATTGATGAGAACTGGGCAGCTGCACTAGAATACAATCCTGAAGCTTTTGCAAGGGTGGTATGTGTTTATATTTTATTTTGTACACACTATATGTGTGTTTTCACTTTCCTTATTTTTTTTCAAATTTATATTTAATTTGAACTTGTTTCCAGGTGATGTTGTATGTGGACATGGAGGTCAATGGCATACCTCTGAAGGTAGCAATCAGGAATAATATCTTATAATTTGGCATGGTTGATCTCGTGGTTTGCAATTTCAATATCAATGGATGTTTCATCATGCAGAAATATGGGAATTTTTGGGATATTTTGATGAACTTTCCAAGATATTTAGAGAATCTAAGAATCAGGAAAATTACAAAATTTTGAATTTGTTAATGATGGATTGTTAGAAGAARTATAGTTGCACATTTAAGACTTAAACAACCATGCAAACAGTGGACTAGAGTGTCCTTATTTTTGGATAAATGGGAGTGGGGATTAGTCTATGATTGGAAAACAGTGGACTAGAGTAGACTAGAGTGTCCACTATTTTTATATTTAAATTGGTGCAGAATTACAACTATGCCCTTAGTTATGAAAACAGTGGACTAGAGTGTCCTTATTCTAAGATAAAAAACACTTAACTACCCTGCTGCCCATATACACCCAAAGTAATGCTCTTTCAACACTTATATTCATACTGTTGCTTTAAATATTTGTGATGGAACACGATTGGATGATGGGATGCAAAATGGCATAAAATAAAAGGATGCAGTGGAGGAATTAGTGATGTGCTGGTATGGATTTGCTACAAGCAAAAGGCACATCTGATAGTCAAGGCTGCACTCTTTCTTTGGAAAAAATGCTGTAATTCCCTATCCTAGTTTTTTCAGCCTAACTTTTTATGTTTTCAATAGGAAGATCATGAACTAAATTTTCCATATTATTCATCTATAGAAAAATCAATATTATTCTTATGTTGCATTTTTGTAGTCTATATTAACTTATTTATGAGATTGCATCAATATGATAAATTTAGAAAATATCTTTTTTCATTGACTAGTCAGTGCCTAGGCACCAACTAGTCATCTCATTGACTAGCAAGGTAAAGAACGATCATTGCGTCATCGCATTGATAATTCAATGAAATTTGCTTGTTAGGAAAGTTTAGTATGGCCCATGTCAAAATTTTCCATCAGTAGACTCATTATTTGGATGGCATGACCTCTTTCATGTGCTTTTTCTCATTCATCCATTCGTTTTAGGTGAAGAGGATTTAAATTTATCATCATCCACTTTCTTCCATTCCAGGCATTTGTGGATAGTGGAGCACAATCAACAATAATATCTAAAAGCTGTGCTGAGCGTTGTGGGTATGTTTTGGGCTTTTTGAAGGAAGAAAAAGTCAAGCTTATTATCGGTAACAATCAAATATTGATGTCATTCATAAAAAAAAAATCAATCAAATATTAATGTCTAATAAAGAATGCTATGCAAATAGGATAAGCTGAGACTTCCTTTGAGTTGGACAAGCACCTGCTACCCACCCTATTCTTTTGCATTTATAAGAAGGGGTTTCTTGCCTTGTACTGATGGTTAAATTTGTTTGTATGTATGTAACATGCACTAAAGGATCTGCATCAAAAGGAAGGCATGAAAAAATTGAAGATGCATGTGTTTATCTGCCAGGTTTGAAAATTGAGGCTGGGATAAACACATGCATCTCAGATATACCGTAAAACATGTCACATAAAAGTTCAGTGTAGTTGGAAGGTGCTAGTYCATCTATTCTTATGCTAGCAGTACTGTGTCTTTTTAATAAAGTAATCCCTGCCCGCCAAAAAAATAATGAGCAGGGCACAAAGAGAAAGAATTTAGCTATTGAACCCCAGATCTAAAGAAACCATAAACACTATCAGTTTAGAACCCAGCACTGGGCCCTGGATATCCCCATACAAGATTATCCTTTGTAACCACAATATGATTATCGCTTTTCCTCTCTGTTGATGATATTTTTCTTTATCAGATTGTTGCGACTCTTGGATCGACGTTATAAGGGTGTTGCTCATGGAGTAGGCCAGTCTGAGATACTGGGACGGATACATGTGGCACCAATCAAGGTTATCTGTTAACTAATTCATGGTTCAGCACGTCTTTTTTCCTTTTTTTTTTGGTCTGAGGATCTTTGTCTGGCTGTTTGTTTGTGCATTTTCACATTTATGTTTGCATCTCATTATAGGAGTTTACTTTTAATGTTTTCCCATTGTGGAAATTTATTATTACTATTAGAGTTGCCTACTAGCAGAACTGAGCTAGATTTTCGATGTTTATTAAGAAAATTCTTGCCTTGGGTCCATCTATGTCCAACATGCTTGAGATTGGTCCTATAGTGAGATTGTACGTCTAAAAAACCAGAACCTGAGCATCTTGTCAAATTAATTGGTCCCATAGTGAAAGGTGGATTTATGAACTTCAAAAGAGGGAATCTAGAAAACTTCTATGATGACCTTTGCAGAAATTCTGCATTGAGGTATCTTGGCAAAGAAGATAGAGGCGAAGAAGAGAAGCTTGTGAGAGTGAGAGGATTAATTGGTGAGGATTAGACTCGAACCACCGAAAAGATAACCCCAGTCCCATCTCACTATGCTCTTGGTCCACAACTCCCCATTTCACTGGTGTATGCATGTAAAAGGAAGAAGCATAGATCATGCATGTATTGAGCCTCCTGCCACACCACCTGGAATAGTAACAAACCTGTAGTTAGTTAGAAAAAGCATTGTAAGAGGACAACAACAGTATATAGGACTGATTCCTCGAGCAAGAAAGGACAAGAAGAAAGAAACTCCCTCCCAACAGTGAGAGGAGTTGATGAGGGCGAGCAAGGAAAGTGATGTAGAAGAATTGAGCTATGGAGGTAGTGGATGAGGTGAATTGGAATGGGAAAATTTGCTAAACTCAACTTTCCCACTTACTCTGGCGGAGATCCCATTCCATAGATATTTAAGGCAGAGCAGTATTTTGAATATCATGAGATGTCAGGCCATTAGTGGGTGACCATTGCCTCATTCCACCTGGATTGCAACGCCATACTTTGGTTCCAATGGTTCAAGAGGTCTCTACCACAGGTTTCCTGGCAAGACTTCATTGATGCCCTTTGTGTGCGCTTTGGTCCTACAGGGTATAAAGGTTGGGTTGAAGTTCTCTCCAATCCCAAGCAAATTGGGCCAATTCCTGAGTATCAGGTGGAGTTTGAGAAGCTTGCCACCAGGGTTTATGGATGGCCTGAAAAGGGCCCTGGTAGGATGCTTCATTGGTGGCCTGAGAGATGACATAAGGTTGGAAGTGAAGACCTGGCAGCCCTTGGCTTTGCTTGCTGTGGTGGGTCTACCTCGATTGCAAGAGTTGTTGAACTGACTTCAAAGAATCACTTGGCCAATGGGCCTGATTTTGAAGACCTCCTTCCAAACTGGATGGGCTTTTGCCTGTCCCATGAGTGACCACAGTCAGCCCACAACCCAGAAATACACAATCCCTTTCAAATGCCTATCATGGGCTGAGATGCAAGCCTGGCTAGCAAAAGGGCTGTGCTATAATTGTGATGATAAATTTGGGACAGGCAACAAGTGCAAAGCCCAACAGATTTTCCTCTTGCAAATTTAAGACAATAAAGGGGAAATGAAGGTTCCAAGTCCAAATAAAGGGGAATCGAGATCTCTCTCCATGCTTTGACCGGGTCCACTTCTCCCAAGGCTATGAAGGTTCATGGAAAGCTTCTCGGATGATCAGTGACCATACTCATTGACAGTGGGAGTACCCTCAATTTTGTCACCCAAATCTTGTCTCACCAATTAGGTATGGTTGTTCATTATTTCCCACCTTTTGCTGTTTATGTTGCTAATGGAAGCAAAGTCAAATGTGAAGGGATTTGTAGGGATGAAGAGTTCGTTCAGGGGTACAAGTTTATTGTAGACCTCCATCCCTTGTTTTTTTTTTTTTTTGATCAGTAACTGTGGATTGAATTAATATTAAAAATATGAGGAAATTACAGGGCAAGGGGGCGAAACAATCTTAGCTCCCAAGAACAACCATTAAACATCAAAAGAACAAAAATTACAAGACAGCCCAAAAAAATAGAATGTCTGTTCACCCCTTGTCTAGCTAGATCATCTGCCAAAGAGTTTGGACTTCTTTTTACCCATTTGTATTGGATTTCCATGTCCTTAGTCAGCCACTTGAATTTCCTCTTTTCATTACTGTAATTCCAAAGTCTAAGACTATCCTCTTTCAGCTAGTTTACCACCACTTCAGAATCTCCTTCTATGATCAGCTTGCTAATATGCATACCCTTGATTCTTTGTTCTCCTTCAAGAGCTGCAAGAATCTCAGCTCTCAAAGAATCTCCCACCCCAACTGGTCCAGAATACATAGCTAACAAATTCCCTTGTTCATCTCTTATTACTCCTCTTATTCCGGATGGCCCTGGATTGCCCAAGCTGCTGCCATCAAAGTTCAGTTTAACAAAGTCATGGGGTGGGGGGATCCAACAAACCTTTGAGGCCTTCCTCATTGGAACAAGTTCTGCTATCTCTTCCACTTTCTTTGCAGCTCATCAACTGAGAATTCTGCGAATAGAGCCAAGGTTTTCAGCTAGTGTATAACCCTAATGTGGATGACCTCCAGCATTGCTTCCAAACTTCTCTCCTTATCTGTAAATATTCGTGAATTTCTCTCCTCCCAAATAGTCCAACAGACTGCAGCCCGCATACACCTCCACATAAACTTGGCCCTTTTTGTTGGTCGAAACGTCATAAATGTGAATAGGCTTTGCACATTCGAAGGGGGGGGGGTCCACCTGCACCCAAACAAAGAAGTACACCACTCCCAAATGATGTTAGTGAACCGATAGGAAATTAGTAAGTGATACCCAGACTCACCATCAACTTTATAGAGGACACACCAGTGAGGACAAAAACAACTATTGGGTCTTTTTCTTTGAAGTAAATCTGCTATGTTAACTCTTTCCAGAAAGGCTTCCCAATAGAAACTCCCAACCTTAGGAGGTATAGGATGACACGACACCTCTTTAACAGGGAAAGACAAGCCAGAAGAAGAAGAATGTGTGAGAGCACTAAAGAAAGAGGCACAAGTGAAAGAACTAGAGGAGGTGAGAGTCCAAATTCTACTATCTGCCTTTGTTGGCTCTAGGAATACCCCTTCAAGAATGGATAACAATGATGAGATACCATCAAGCTCTGTGTCCCTGATATCTCTTCACAGGCCCAAGTTCCAGCCGACCCCATAAATAGAATTAGAAGGAACAATGAATGAAGACACCGGTTCATTTTTAAAAGTGGAAAGGGCAAAAAGGCTTGGGAATTGGTCTTTTAGGGTGGWGTCCCCAATCCAAACATGTTCCCAAAAGTTAATGAGATTGCTTGAGTGCAAGTCATACCTGATCCATGGAGAAAACAAAGGTAGAATAGCTTGAATAGCTTTCTAAGGAGATGCTCTTGTACTCCTTGCCAGAATCCTAGAGTCCCATTCATTTGTTGCAACCCCATGAATACTTCCCACCGTCTTCACCCAAAGTTTGTCCTTCTCCAATGAGAACCTCCAAAGCCATTTCCCCAGAAGAGCCAAGTTCCTATTCCTTATGTTCCCGATACCCAAACCTCCCTCCCTCTTACTCCTACAAACCATCTCCCACCCCACCCTATGGTCCTTCTTCTCCTCCCCCAGCTCCCAGAGAAAGCCTCTCATTAGTTTTTCTA